CTGGGGGCGCCCATCTGCTTTTGGGGCGACTCTGATCTGCTGGGAATGGGCAATTGGGCGTCGCTCTCCTGCTTGGTGAGCCCAACTTCTGCTGGAGGCGCCCTATTTCTGCTCAACCTTTGCTGTGTCGCCTCTGTTTTGCTCGGGGCGCCCTCTCTGCCGCGGGCTATGGGCGCCTTTTTTGGATGTCGGGGGGGGGGCGGCCGCCCCCGTCGCCCCCCCCCCCTGGATCCGCGCCTGCGTTTCCAACAAGTTCTTAGGCATTTTTTCTCAGATTGAGCTTGTTATCTCCGAGGCCAATGACTTTGCTTTCTGCCGAGACACTGGACGCGATTCGGCCGCCCTGCAGGCTGCAGTCTATAGGCGCAGTACCATACACTGTCATGTAGCCGGACTCCATCTCGGAAATGGTCGCACCATTGACCATTTCCTCCAAACGGCACCAATCGAACTCCGTTGTAGAGAGGTCGTCATGCTGCTCTTGTCGGAGAGACTGACGTAGCGCGAGTCTCACAAATGGTTCTGTTCTGCACGTGTTGTCTCGTTGGTTTGATAGCTCGGGCTAGCGGCTCAGCCGTGACGCTTTCCTTATGTGCCGATGTGCGATGGAGGTATTTGAATTATTTGCCGGGATAATGCACGCTTACGACCAAATACTACGCTGAATATGCATTAACTTACCTCTCTGTCGTAATTTCAACAGGACTTTTGAGAGAAAAGAACGATACCTATTCATGAAAGAAGAACGATGGATGAAGACGATAAACGTTGCGGCTCTAATTTTCTGGGCTACTTGTTTTTCGTCGAGCATCAGGGCATCTAATTGTGATACACAAAAGGGCTTTGGAATAAGCCAGTTTCAGGGAAACTAAATATGGATATACGCATGCCAAGTGCGAAGATTATTTTATTTTCACCACACCTAAGCAACGCGATCGCAAATACTACTACCTGTACATCATTTCAGACCCCCTGCTCCCGTCGCCTCTATAGCTCAGTGGCAGAGCACTGGTCTTGTAAACCAGGGGTCGGGAGTTCGATCCTCCCTGGGGGCTGGTATTTTCACGTCAACGTTCGCGTTCAATTTTCGCTCTTGGCATGTTAGCGGTCAGATTATGCCATCGATTTTTCGTCATTTACGCATGCACGCACATATTCGCTTCCAGTCAGGCAACATTAACATAATCACATTTACGCAATCATAAGCTCTATAGCACGCAATCTATCGTGACTATATGGGCCCAGAGTCTGGGACGGTATTCCTGGTGCCACCGTCGCTGCGGTGTCGGCAGCAGCCGCCCGTCACCAGCTCGTGCCACTCATCTAGTCGTCACGGGAGCCGCCGGAGTCCGGGGTGCACCCGTCCCGTTCCCACGCCCGCGGGAGCCGCCGACCGCCGCGGGCACGCGCCGGCCACTCAGCGGCGTCACGGGCACTTCCGACCGGCCGACCGGCGGCGCCCGCCCGGCCAGAGGGGGGATGGGAGCGGCCGGGAGGGAAGAAGGGGAGTGGAAATGAAAGGTCTAAATTAGTGTGTAGGGACGGAAAGGGGGGCGATTGAACAAGAACAGGTTAGGTTAGGTGAATGATGAATCGCGACTCATATGGCCGTGCCAAATATGTTGAATAACAGCGAGACTCAGCGCCTAACGGGACTCAGGATATTTCCATGCGGCTACCAAAAACTCAATGTCAGAAAGCGCTGCATCAGCGCACGGCACCCTGTGATTACCTCCAAAACACACATCCTTAGTGGCACACCACACAATGCACCCGACCCTGCCCCAAATCCAGACGCCACCTCAGTCGGCGGGAGGGGAGTTTTTGCACACCGGACCATCCCATACCGAGCGTGACGGCTCTGTCCGCGTCACGGGCGTCACTCGTCAGTCGGACGTCCGTCATCGTCGTCACGAGTCGCACTGTCTCCAGGTGTGGAGGTGACGCGGCCCGGGACCGGACCCTGAGCCAGGTCAGGTGAGACACGGACACATCGGGTGGTCGGTACAGGACGGTACAGGACGGTTTCGCGATTAATGTGCAGGTATGGAAGCGTATAGTCTCATAAGGCTGGGGTGAATATAAAAATATATAGGTACCGATAATGATATCGATAAGATGCACTAACTTTAATGTGTCTCAATGTTTTGTTGGTTGAAGGGCATAGAGCAACTTTTTACGGCGCATGTCTCATACCTACCGTTTACGCAAACGTTTATGCAGAAACGTCTTATTAATCGTCAATCATTCAACATTGCTTTTTCACCTCTTACACCGTTACACCTGCCAAAAAAGGTAAGAATATGCAGCTATTTTCAAACATAGCTGAGCAAAACTGAAAACATTTATTTCAAAAATGAAGAAAATGATCATAGGTACATACCTATACTAAATTGTGCAGCGCATGGGCCAAGCCTGCCTCTCGCGTTCGACGCAGAGGCAGGCTCAATCACCGTCATAATTTGCATCTAAAGTTTGACGTTCACATGCAGTACGGAACGCAAGGGGCCGCACATCGCGGTAACTTTATGCGAACACAAGCACAGCCGACGCCACCCACCCGAGACCTGCCAAACTAGGAACTATAATATTGGATACAGCTTGCAGGGCGTCTGTGGATTGTGTGGGCTATAGCTGGACGGCAGGCCGGCGGGGAGACTCAACCATTTTATAGGAAACTTACCTTCAACTACATGCAGTTTGGAAGTATTTGCTGTTGTTTGATAATAGTTATAATAACCATCGCCCCTTGCAGTTCACTTCTCAGTTTCTGAGGCTTATTGGAGATCATCTTTGCTAAGGCTCCTACGTTGTTGAATATTTTGGTATTCTAATATAATTAATAGTTTATGCGGCAGTTTAAAATAACAACTATTTTGTGCGCATTCCGAAAAGCTTTCATAAAATCGCGTTAGGCTATAGATAAGATAATCATGGGGCCCAAGTCCTTATGATTTGTGCTGGGGCCTGGAACTGTGCTTGAGTCACCGCTCAGAAAGATCAAATTCCTTACGCAGCCGAGTCCAACGTGTTCAGATAAGCAACGGTGCGCTACTTTTTCAATAAGAAGCTCCCACATGTCGGAAATATTTAGGCTGACAGTGATTCGATTCTCCCCTGCAGCCACCATCCGTTCGACATGGCGCTGCAACGCCGTCCGGTGACGTCATCACTTCCATCGCCGCCATCGGCGTCATCACTGCCGTCACCGCCACCGCTACCGTTACCGTCGCTGTCCTCGCTGGGTCTACTTCTGCTGCTGCTTCATTCAGCTGTCCCTACCACCGCCAGCCCGCGCGTCAGCAGCGCCCGCTCGACGGATCTGCGACCTGAGACATCGTCCGTACCCCGAGTTCTGACCCGTACCGTACCGCGAGTATTAGTCAGTAGCACCGTACCCCAAGTACCGACCAGTGCAGAGCCCTGGGCACCCACCAGTACTGCACCACCGGCGGTACGTCGTCGGTACCGCTCATCGGGCCAGCCTCTGCCAGGTACATTTGGTACAGTACCTCAACTCTCGACTGACAAACAGGAGCTGAACGTACCGAAAAGCCAGGAGGTGATGCTACAGAGGGGTCGCACCGCACGCGGAGAGGACCGGAGAGCTGATATCATCAGTAACACACAGGTCACAGAGGTCAGTCCTCAGGTCACGGCTCGGACGCAGCAGGTCGTTGAGCAGGTGTTGCAGCAGGGCGAACAGCAGGACGAGTGGCATGGTCAGACGGACGAGCAGTTCGAGCAGCTGATTCAGCAGCTGACGAAGCAGGCCACCCTGACCACTGCGGACGGCTGGCGGGTGCTAAACGGCCAACAGCATCAGTCTGGCGTACCAGACAGCGTGATCAACGGCAAAGTCCAGCAGGATAACCAGTTTGATGACAAGTCTCAGCAGGATGAGATCTCCGGTCAGGCGAGCCAGTTCGTCAGCCAAATACAGCAGGTTGACCAGCGAGTTGGTCAGCAATCTGACCAGCAGGTCGGCCAGCAGTCTGTGCTCGGTATCGGGCTCAAGGAGGTGGAGCACGTCGGACAGCTGACAGTCCAGCAGGCCGGCCAGCCCATCAGTCAGCAGACGGTGGGGTCAGTTGTACAGCAGACTCAGCAGCAGGTTCTGCAGCCGGTCCAGCAGCAGCAGCAGCAGATCTCTCAGGCCGGCTACCAGGCCCTCTCGACAGGTCAGGCGGTGCCCAGCGGTCAGCAGCAGCAGCTCGGTCAGGTTACACAGTATATACAGACTTCTGTCGCCTCCTCTGGCGGGTACAGCTCGGCTAACTCTGTCCAAGGGGTATCCAGAGGCACGTCTTACAGCTCGACGGTCGGTGGACAGACGATTGGCACTCAGACGGGCGGCCTTGGCGGCGGGTACGGCGTCTCAAACAGTCAGCTCGGCGTGACAGGCCAGTTTTACGGCGCGTCTAACGGCCAGATCAGCCACCAGAACCAGGCAAACGGCCAGTTTAGGCAGCAGAACCAGGCAAACGGCCAGTTTAGGCAGCAGAACCAGGCATATAACTCACAAGGCAGACAGTTCGGTGGCCAACAGCAGAATTTCTATCAGTCACAGGGAAAATTCAGCCAGCAAAATTTTGGCCAAAATTTCAACAACATCCAAAGAAACCAAAATTACAATGCTAGAAGAAATAATTTCAGCCAGCAAAATCAGGGATACACCTCGCAAAATACGGGATACAGTGGACAGAACCAAGGGCACAACCAACAAAACCAGGCATACAACTCACAAAATGCAGGATACAGTGGCCAGAACCAAGGGTATCGATCAGCCGGGAACCAGTATGGCCCTCCCAATACTAGTTATAACGCACCAAACGGCCAAGTCAGCTCTGCAACAAACCAATACGGGGCACCTACCACAGGATACAGCTCACCAAAAAATCAGAATGGCCAACGGAATAACCAGTATGGCTCGCCAAGTCAAGGATATAGCACGTCAGGTAACCAGTATGGCCCGCCGAGCAAGGGTTATAGCCAACCCAACAACCATAATAGCCAGCAACATAGTCAAATGAGCCACGGTAATAACCGGCCCAATAGCCAGTATGGTTCACCGAGTAACCAGTACGGCCCTCCAAGCAACCAGTATGGCCCACCAAGTAAAGGTTTTGGAACACCCAGAAACCAGTACAACTCCCAAGGTAGCGGATATAACAGACCCAACACCCAGCACGGCTCATCAGCCGGCGGGGGTCACTCCGGCCACCACTGCTCCCACTCCGGCTCAAACCACGCGCCCAGCCGGCACTACGGCCCGCCGAGTAGCGGTCACTCCGGCTCAGGTCACGGTCACGGCACGCCGAGCAGTTCGTACGGCCCTCCGAGGTCAGGAGGTCACGGCCACATCGGCTCCAAGGGAGGTCAAGGTCAGAGCGGCAGCTACGGCGGCAGCGCGATCAGCAGCTACAGCAGCTACGACTCGTCCCAGACGGGCGACGTCTACTACGTCCATGTGGATGACGACAAAGGGAAGGGACGACACAAGAAGAAAAAGAAGAGCAGGGGGCGCTCCAAGGGCAGGCAGAACGGCTACAAGGGAAAGGGAAGCAGCGGCGGAGTCTATGAAGCTGAGGAGGAGGAGGATGAATACGCGTACCCAGGTTAGTCGGACGATATCCGTTCATTCAGTCACTCTGGATAGTCATTTTGACGAAAATAAATGCAATCGACAACCTTGTTACGCCTTATTGAACATGAATAATTGTTCAGAAGAGGTTTCATTTATCTAAAAAAGATAATCACCTAGACTGGCCATTTACAACACATCTGTTATACAATCTCAGACAAGACAAAGTCACTTCACTTTAGTCCTGCCCGGAATGTAGGATCTCAATTGGCCTAGGAGATGACTGAAATTTTACAGCGCCAATGAGATTCTGAGACATTTACGCAGCATGAAAAGCATACTGAGTATATTCTTTGAATAACTTTATCAAAATCTATTACATGAACAGCTGACTTCAAAAAGATGCCGCCAATGCCATACAGGCTCATCCGTTTCTCTCGTCACATTTGATGTTCGATTGTATGACTTATCGAGTTAAAAGTTAGATGCCTGCATTACCCGTTCCAAAAGGCCAGCTGGGCGACCAAGTGCGCATTAGCACAACTCAGCCGATCAGATCATCAGCCAATTTGACAGAACACTTTCAAATGCAGATTAGGCGGTCGGCAGGCAATAAAAGATGCTAATAAACCGGTAAGAACGCTGCGTTCCGGTAGCTGCTCCATAGAGAGGACCGTCCAACTCTGCTGTGTGACCGGCCCAAGTTGCCGGTGGCCGGCGGTGGCGGGCCGACAAAGTTGACCGGACCGGTGACGGCGGCCGTCACCCACCCGCCGACTCGCCGAATGCCAAACGCCCTCCCCCTGCGGCCTTCTCCGTGTGGCATTGCACGCCCCGATCTCTGATTGGCAGCTGGCCTGGTTTAGCGACACAAGTGGCAGAGCAGCGAGCCGGACAGTGGCCTTCAGCTGTTTCTCCAAGGACTACGTCCCACAAAACAGAGGCAAAACATGTCCCAAAGGTGGATTACTTTATTTTGCTCGTTTCATGCAGCTACGCAGAGCGAAGATCGGTTTCGCAAATCTCGCTAAAAACGTCATATTAAAAACTGCGTGCGGGCACTTTTTGCATTATCGTTTAAGTACAGATCATTAAAAAATATATAGGGATAATATTTCCTAAATCGAAGTTACAAGCGTGTCGTATCAAAAGCACATACTGGCATGATGCCCTATACAGCGCCGTCGAAATGGGCGAAGAAAACATTAACACCTCGAGCTCAGACGCATGAAGCGAAGGGAGAGAAGCGAAACACGATGGCTCTGGTTTCTCTCCGGCCGTTTTCCCGTACCTGCGGAGACGGCTCACCTCGTAATTGGACCGCCGTCGGCCGCGCGATAAAACACAAACGAAAGCCGTGTAGCAAAACATGGCGTAACTACGGCAAAAACTCTGCCCCCACCAAGGATAGAACAGGCACGCGTGGTTTACAATGGACGGTGGCGCCGCTACCGAGGCCACTGCGCTCAAAACGGGACACACTTTCTGAATCGGACTGGTGGGGAGAAATGTAGATTTTCTATTACATTTTCACTCTGGTTAACCTCACTTGCCAGCGGCTGACGGGGCCTGCACTGAATGGCGCAGTCAGTGCAACCGCACGACAATTTAGCGACTTTAGCACTGCAAAACCAGAACTATTAGTTTGGCTTTCATCTACACCCCTGAAAAGTCTACGGCTCGTACGGCTCGTATCATGAATGTTGTAAATGTTTGTAGAGATGAAGCAGACAGGAAAATTACAGAATCCATTAGAATTCGTGAACATAGGCCCAAAATCAACTACAACACAGTGTCGTGGCAAATTCTTGCATAGTTGGAGGTGATTATGTAGGGTGACAGACAACTTGAGCGTGAATACGTGAACGTGAAACTTGAACGTGAATTTGATAGTGACTTATGATATGGGTATTCATACCGGTGTTCAACTGTACTACGGGTAGGGTATGAAGGGTAATATATCGTGTGCTTTGGTATGGGAGGGCAATTTATGTAGTTGTCACGCGATAGATGATATTTCGGGCTGGAAAGCGGCAAATGTGACGAAATGCTACTTTGAAGTGAGACGTGTTCTGCACTCCTGTTCTGCACTTATACTAGCTTCCGAACCGATTGAGAAAGAGCAGTGCTCGAAATATATCGCTTTTGTATTGTATTTTTGCCATTACAGTTTACTTAAAGTATTGAGGATAAGGTCAAATGACTCATACAGTATTAAAAGTCTATTCCGACAATTTTATACCGACGCAATGTCCATGATAACCAGTATCAAATAAATATCCCTACGCTTACACCCCAAACCACTCACATGTCACACCCCACACCCCCGTTTGCCCCGCCCCCAGAGCGGACCGAAGGCTGTCCGAGAAAGATCGACAAGCACGGCTGCAAGAAGGCGTTCAAGCGCACGCCGTGCCGCTTCGCCAACGACTGGGTGTGCGGCAGGAAGGAGCAGTGCTGCTACTCCTCCTGCGTCGGCCACTCGGTCTGCGTCAAGGCCAAGCACAAGCCCTGGTGGAAGTTCTGGTAGCAGAGGATGATGCTGAACAACGAACTGGGAGGGTGTGCTTGACTGATTGAGGTCGAAAAATAGTAGATTTGGAATGTTGTGTGGGTGAGTGATTCATGTTAACGTTGCTCGTGACTGACAAACGAGTGAACATGAAGTTCATTTGAGTGCAAGTGTTCGTGAGTTTGAGGACTCATGATCTTTAATTTCATTACTAGAGCGTAAGCGATATTTGTATTTTTTACCAGATAAGGCAAGAGTTTATAGCTTTCTATTATCTATAGTTGACTCGGTGATTGATTGAGCCCAATTAATTGTGTATATCAGATAATGTTAAGCCAGCATTAGCTAGCCGATCGGGCAATTCTACATGTGTAGACCAAAGAGCTGAAAGTGATTGCAAGGATGGGCACATTCAAAATTTGATTAAAATTTGAAAATACTTACAAGCAGGTAAAGATCACCGTAGTTCGCAAGAGATGAACGAAAGGCGTATTTAAAAATGGCTGATGAGGTGCAGGCTGATGATATATTGAGTGAGAGCGAATGATGGCTTGTACCTGCTATGCAGAGAGAATCGTGCTATGCAAATGCACATGCACTGACTGATTACTTTGTGTGCACAATGCACATGGTATTGCTCGGCATAATTTATAGATAAGCTTACAATTAAGTTTTTACGGTAGATAGCTAGGTGTGAGCCGATATTTGTTCGACACCATACAGTAATGGTCATTTGTGCTGTGTGTTTATATGAATAATAACGCAAATAAATTTGGTAGCGTATCGAGAGCCCTCAATTATAATATTGATGTCGATTTGTATGCCTTCACTTATGACGATTAAAGGGACAATATCTATGCGTACACATAAGGATATCACCGTCCTGGTATACAACAGGCTGTGTCACATGGGTTCAGCAGTTGTTCAGCATGTGTGGCTAGCGTTCATAACTATTTTCAAGGAAGGAAGGTAATTGTGTAAATTGCTTCCTAAAAGCCTGTGGTACTCCCACTCGTTTGGGTCTCCGACTTCCATGCTTGCTGACCTGGCCTTCAGAATAAACAGTATCTGCTCAAGAAATGCGCATGAAACACATACCTACCAATGAGAAGTCAATCTCATTCTTCTCATGGATCATGGATGGGATATATAATATGCACCATCAAATTAAAAATACTTACACGCTTCCCTTTGAATTTAATTCGCCTGGTTTTGACGTATTTTAACCACAGTTCAGTATTAATAGCTGCATAACATAATGATGCGCCCCACCTTTTGATGGTCTCATTCAAACGCACATTGCCGGAAGGAAAATTAATCACCTTCTTCGCCGATGTAAATGCCACCAACAGCTACCAAATGACCACGCCAGGGAAACTGACACAAAAAATTAATCCCATAGAATGACAGCGTTCAGATCAGGCATCACATTGAAAACAATTTAACCCAAGGCTGGCGAGTAAACCGGTGTTCTACGGGTACCCCTATCCGCAACCATTTTTAACCACCCTCCCAGGAGTAGTGCTAGGTCCCGTTGCGGTGTAGTCGTACTTGCTCTGAGCGGATATAACCGCTGTCAGCGAACAAGTCCGCTGAGAGCAGGGACGACTACACTGCAATGGGACCTTACTGTACTCCTGGGAGGGTGGTTAAAAATGGTTGCGGATAGGGGTAACCGCAAAACACCGGTTTACTCACGGGCCTTGGGTTGAATTGTTTTCAGTGCATATACCGATGAACGAAAAAAAGTGAAAAAGGTTTGTATCAACATGAGTGTTTAATGTTTATCCATGTCATTGTTCTTTCCCTGTCGTAAATAGTAGGAGTTAAAATTTGTTAATACGATCGGCTTGCATTCATTGCTACCCATACACTTAACCCATTTCACACCGGCCCGACTTCACAGAGTGTGGGTTCAGCAAAACATGTAACAGATTAGTCGTCACTTTGCGACCGTTCAAGTTTAGTATTGCAGTGTCGGTGACGGCGTCATAGTGGGAAAGCCAACGCTAAATTGCATGCCAGAAAGGGGATCAGAGCTAGTGATGTGTTTGTGTGTGGGCGTCGGAGACAGCATGTATAACGGTGTGCTGGCATGAATGACAATACATGCCAGTGTGAGTAGTAAGCGTGTACTGCGTTGTACTGTCTGACAATGTATTTTCCTATGCATTTTCTTAGCTGACCGTTCCTTGACTATGCCGCGACCCAACCCTGCCACTCGCTCTACCGAAGGCCACATCGCCGTCACAGTGGCACAGCCCGGCCGACCTGACACAGCCGATCGCCTGACACGACCCTGTCGGTCCAACACAGCCGGTAAACAGAGCGGTTAGGGTGTCGGTCAGGTGCCGGTATATAGGGGGCCGCCGGCGGCAGCTCACCGTCACCCGCCGACCATGGTCCCGCGCGCCGCGGCAGCCGTGGGGCTGCTACTCGGTGAGTCTATACTCTATTCCCTGCGATATTATTACCTATACAGATGACTGAGAGACACACAGAGGTCAGCTGAAAATATCCCAGTGGGGTTAGAAATTAAAAGTAGTAATCTCATGCGTAAACATGAGAAGCCTTATTCTCCGTCCCATAGTGCGCAGAAACTATTTGTAAGACAACTATCTTAAAAGGCAGTGTCTGCGACTAAACATAAACGAACGGAGGGACGGTCTTCCGTTTCCGTGCTTTACTTTTAGTAGCAGTATACATGGCAGCAGTGATCGCCCTGCATCTGTGCCGTCCCGTAGCCCCAATAAGAAACCGCGGCTGATGTATAATGCAGCCACCATATCTCCAATCGGTGAGCTCGGTCATAGACCGACCCACTGGACTGCATTAGTGATGACCGCTCCTGAGCGCAGCCATACGACGGTTACATAAAGACCGTGATGTTCAGAAATGGTTTAGAAAGCCTGCCCAAAGTGTAGGGACCGCGAGACGTCAGACACGCGAGCTTATGATGTCGACCATTCGTTATGGCTGAAGGTCAAACGCAAGAAGTATCAGAACATTGACACTTCTTAAACAATTTAAAAAGTTTAGTTCAAATGAATTAAACTGACAAAGTCAGAGCCAGCCGTACGCAGGGCTTGTTGGGGAATCCCTCTACGAAACCAATTATGCATTCCAAGCGCATGAAGGTGAAGCACGAAATATAAATAGAAAGTACTGAGGCCGAAAGACATTACTGAGGGCGGCGACCACCGCCGCAGTTTTGGGGCGTCTGAGTAACGCGATTATCGATATCGCCTCTCCTGGTAAAACGGTATTTCGAGCAGAGCACGCCAAATTTACTAGCAACACTGGTGGAATCGCAGTCGGCATGTTTTGGGTTGGGAATTCATTCGACGAATTTACCGATGTGTTTTGCTCAATGATGAAGTGCCAAGTTCTGCCGCTCAGAAGTAATCGAACTTTGGCCACTAGTAAACACACAGCTGGCCGGAACTCATAAAAAAAATCAAAGGCCTCTTATTTTAGGTACATTTGAATTGTTTGATACGCATTTCCAATCATCCCAGAAGTCAAATGCATGTTTTTTTTTAATCATTTGAGCCAAGAGAGAAATGTGAGCGTCAGTGACCCGTTACATTTATTTTCAGTTCTGCAGCTCACAGACAGTGGCGCGGAAGGAGCCAGTCTGGTGGGTCGAGGTAAGGCAATGTGCAGCGCAGGGTGCAAAATTTGGAGGCTTGCAAAAATCAGCAGATTATGATTCAAATTAGATGATGAGTGACCTTTTTGGTGATATTCAATTACAATGGAACCCAACAAATAAATATCAAAAAGGGCGTGAAATCTTTTCTTTAATTTCGTGGCCTTAAATATTGAAATAAACCGTAGGATAGACTAAAAAGCATACATTTAACTGCCTGAGAGGTCAGCCCGAGCCATAGCAACCCAAGACGACGAGCAGACTTTTGAACGTACACCTGACCGGCAAACCCTCCATTATGGCAGCCATCCACCCGAAGACGCGATGCTGTAAAAAGACGGAAGCCATCGCGCCACTCCAAGGCATCATCACGCTGGATGCCTGCAAGGAGTACTGCACCAAGTACAAGCTGCAGCCCATCCAGCTTGGGTAAGAACCAGTGACACACGAAGTGACAAGGCTGAACACTTCTGGGATTCGTTAAACGGAGAAGCCGGCCGTTGGGTTCAAGGGAGCAGCATTGGTCACTAAGAATAACAATATAGCCAGGCATAGCTTCATAACCCACACTAGAAATGTAACACTTTTTACTATCGATAGCTGATCGCAGGTGAACAATGAATCCCGCTACCTTATCTCAGCGCCTACCCCTTTCTCCGACCACACAGGCCCAAGTCGTTCGCATGCAAGCGCCCCAAGTACGCGTGCGACAAGATGGGTCAAGGCGAGGAGTGTGGCGAGTGCTACAAGGCCGGAACCTGCTTCCTGATGCCGTTCGTGGGCGGCATCAGCCTCTCCCGGCGAACAGACATCAGCAAACGCCGGCTGGCTGAGCAGGAGCAGCGTCAGAAGGTCTACAAGGAGAAGGGCGAGGGCACCCGCGACACAGGAATAGGTGAGTGCTCCGAGAGCTATGGTAGGGAGCGCTGGGGTGGCCATATTAATGGAGCAATCCAGGTAGAGTGGTGGCGAATGAGTAGAGAGCGAAGAGAGAGAGAGGGAGAGAGAGAACGAGAGAGAGGGAGAGAGAGAGAGAGAGAAGAGAGAGAGAGAGAGAAGAGAGAGAGAAGAGAGAGAGAGAGAGAGAGAGAGAGAGAGAGAGAGAGAGAGAGAGAGAGAGAGAGAGAGAGAGAGAGAGAGAGAGAGAGAGAGAGAGAGAGAGAGAGAGAGAGAGAGAGAGGAAGGGAGGGGGACATTCATACACCCACGGTATAAGTAAATGAAGTAGGTAGCATAATCTTGTGGAGACATTTACAGATTCGTCATGACGCCACACTGCCTCCGGATACAATGAGATAACATTGGTTTACACGCCTCACTGGAGTGTATGTGATACAGCGGCGAACCCTCGAGAGACAGGCCATAGTTCACAGTAACCTCGTTCTCAGTGATATAAATCGCTACTCGCTAGCACAGTGTGCTCACTCAATAGCTTACTCCATCAGCCGTTTAGTGGCGCAGAAAAGCTACTGCACGCCTGCTGTGAGCTTGTGAGCTTGTGAGCTGCCGAGTGACCACTGACCATCCCACCTTTACATTAGTTTAAAGTTGAGACAGCTAGCTTGGGATCCCTATTCCCTATGCATCTCGCTTCTCTAATTGTACGCATTCTGACGGCACACCACCCAACTCTCTTTCAGGCGGTATCATGTCCATTCGCGGTCAGAAGACGGGCAAGTCGAGCGAGGACGAGCGCAACGCCGCCCAGATTCTCAGCAAGAGCGTCACCACCTCACTCAGCACAGAGAACTTTGGCGGATTCCCCAGTAAGCCGACGGAGGCATCAGGAGGCCGAGTTATGAAGCCGGCGCGTCGCCCGTGCATTCGCGGCGGTCGCTTTATGTAAACCGAGCTTCGCTCACAGCCGCGGCGGCAGACTTGAGCGTCAGTTAATGGTGGAGTTTCTGTAACGCCCCTGCAGGGAATCTGTACACTGTGACGAGCGGAGAATGAAGGGAGAAATAGTGAATGGCATGGCGGAGACATAAAATAACCGCCACTTACGTAATACGGTTTGTAATGTCATAAAATCTAACATGCTGGAAGAAATCGACATAACACAAATATTATCAAAAGGAGTAAAAGAGGTAAAAAGCCACCATTGACTGCAGATGACAATAGACATTAGGCTGCCGTGGTCCGTTGAAACAGTAACGCGTGGTGCTAACAAATATGTATGCGTAACCACCCTGATTTCGTTCCAGAGGGCGGATCATTGAGCCAGAAGGATTTCCTGAGCGGCGCAGGAGATCTCGGACAATGTAAGCCTACGACATTTGTAAATCATTTCCACTTAATTGTCTTGACATATCCTTCGCTTGTTATTAATGGCAGCCTTAAGTGAAACGTTGCGGCGGTCACATGAAATTTTTCACAGCAGAAGCGGCTTACACCAATGCGATTTAAGAACTTATGCCACCTCGTCGGTGCCCACCAAAGCACATATCAATCAAAGGGAAGAAGGTGTCTTATATTAAGTTATATGTCACCAATTGATGAGTGTAATGTTGTTTTTCAGTCGCCGGCCGAATCGGTCCTAATGGCGCCATCCAGCAAACAACGGGGCTGGAACTGGCCAAGCGGAAGCGACTGAAGAACACTAAGAGACAGGAGACGAACCGGCAGCAGGAGAACTTTGCGCAGGACCTGGCCGCGCTAGCTCCAGGTGGGCGTCCAATTGCGATCACGACTTCCGGCGTAATGCTGTCCCTGCTTCAGGGCCTCATTGGTAAACTAAATAAATACAAATGCTGAACGTTACGGCAGCCAAAAAGACAGCCGTCACGGTGAAAATCTCGTGGAGGTTATAAATATAGAACAGATATGTCTCCATTAATTGCAGCCACTTGATATATTTGCACCCGCCCACTTCCTTTGCAGGGCAGAGAGGCTCGCTGACATCCAAGGGTGACAAAAAAGAGTTACGAACGGAAAGAGGCAGACGCGCTGAGACCGAACAGGCCACCACCAAATCCAAGAAACTCTCACTCAGCGGCACCGCCGCCAAAGGATTCGCAGGTAACGTCACGGCGCACGCGCACTGACCTCGCAGAAATCAACAGTGTCATAGGGCTCGGGCGGATCTGTAGACTGTCAACTGTTAGCCGATGAAATGCATGAAAGAGAAACGACCGTCGAATTTTGTCCGAGCTGAATATTTCATAGCCAGGTCACGGAGTGCGCGGGATTTACAGATATGACAGAGGGCCGAATAGTTTATTTGGGCAGACTGGAAAGCTTCCACGACACCATAAATAAATACTGAGTTTTAAAAGTCAAAACTGGCCTTATTGTTGTTCTGACTTGTTACAGCGTATAAAGGTAACATATGTAATCTCGCTAACAACTGCACGTAAAAGCTGGATGCCAATGCAGCCATGTCGCCTCCCCAGTAAACACAATAAAAAACTTTATCCATCTCTGGAAGGTATGGCTTGCCACGATATCAAAATTCCGCCACATCCGTACTCTCAGTCGTCATTAATACCGTTATCCCATGGCTTACCCCATAACCTCTCACCCGCACCCTTCGCCGGAACCCACGCCCACAAACCCTGACCTGTGTTCTGAGCCTCTGAGCTCTGACATCGCATACTCTGACCCCCCCCCCTCTCTCTCTCTCTCTCTCTCTCTCTCTCTCTCTCTCTCTCTCTCTCCGCAGGCTCGCGCGGCGGCCCCGTCGAACTGCTGGAGGAGAATCAGGCTGTACTAGGCACGGAGAGTGAGCTCCGGGAAGGAACCCTCGTCTCCGCGGGCACCACCAAACAGAACCTTCGGCTCGCAGGTGAGGGATAGACTCGATTAATCAAATCCATACAGAGGGAGAAAATGTTTGATTAGTTGTCTGATGTCAATGAATGACAATCAGGGAGAATAACTAATGACGGTTTTCGTGAAATAACAGAAAAGATCAAACTTAAGACGGACAAAAAATCGGGACCAGCCTCCATGCACGTCTTGAGATCAAAATCTAGACCCAATAGGACAGAGTCAAAATCGGTCAGCCGATCCTGACCAGTGACCACCGTCATTCACTGAGTCGGTACCACACCTACCCCTCCCCCCCCCCCCCGTCAGGTCGCGGCGGAGACCTCGAGGTCGGTTCGCTGGAGCGGCGCAGCAGTGACAAGGCCCAGAGCCGGACCGCCATCAAGGGAAGGAGCATCGGCAAGGCTAAGCTGCGCCAGGCGGCCACCGATGAAGGTAGGTTGCTGGGTAGTCGTCGTTCCGGGACCACGGGCCCAGACGAGACGGGAATGACCCGTACGTGCCGTCAGCTTCCAAAGGCGTAACTTGGCTTCAAAGGGTGCAACTTGTGACGGTGATGTGGGCTGTGGGGTCCTGAGACAGGCTTCGAGGTGGTCTGGTAGCGCTCGACTGGGTATGCGACATTCGTAGGGCAAACTGGGCTGGAATGTTGAGTTTTGAAGCATGTGCTGTAAATTATAAGATGGAAGGATGATGAAGTCCACGTTAGACCATCGTCCACAGTTCTGGCTCATGCCATAATCCAATAATAGTTACATGAAATTGGTAGTTAAGTTTTCAATCACACTCCACAAAGATGTCAAAGGGGCTAAATGCCTCTCCAAATCGTTGACCCGTCTTCACTCACTACATCCGTGTATCGACAGGCCTCAATCGTGACATCCAGACAGAAGTGCTCGGGGAGCGACAGACCAACACGGCCACCAAACAGTCCGGAAACTTTGTCCAGGTGGAGAAGAAGGGCAAAAAGTGCGACCACTGCACCAGCACGATGAAGAGTAAGCACGATCGGCTGTTTGTTTTGTTGATTGGGGCAATTTGGCCATATCTAATCGTTTCAAGCTCATTGATCGACAGTACGGTTGCAGCTGAGTTCTGCTTGGAATAACGAAGCGAGTTGGAATCAAGCTTAGTTTTATATGGAAACCAATTAACTGCACCAATTCAGTAAAAATCAAAGTGTTGAAAAAACTTTATCAGAGAAGTGTGCAGAAGTACGGCCGGTGGAGCTAATTTTTGTGCAAACAATGAAGCTCGTCCGCATGATTTTTAGCCCATTTCCTGTAATTCAATGCCAAAGTCCAACGGGGACAGCGGCTGCAATTTTAGACCTTCCCCTGACACTCCTGCTTGCTCTTCACAGAGCTGACCAAGGGTCGGACATTCGGCAACTCCCGGGAGCGACTTCAGGAGCAGACAAAGGAGAACAAACGCAGCTCACTGCGCGGCCGCGCCGGACAGGGTGAGTCAGGAAGGGACATACAGCCCTTCACAGCAATAATTCGTCCGGGGCAGTGGGAGTATAATGCTATTACCAAATTTCCATTCTGTAAATATTGGTAGCTCAGCCTTACCTATAGATCAATATCAAATGGTGTAACTTTATTCGCATCAATATGAATTACTAATTACTTGCCATCAATGTTTTGACACATTTCCATTCAAATATTTAATTCATTCAAATCATTCGGAGATCGCCATTCACCGACTCACAGCCCTCCTCTTTCAGGAACTACACTCCCTCACAATGCCCTATCTCCCCCCAGGCGCCACGGTAGTCACCACGGGCCGGGAGACGAGCCGATTCCGGCGGGCGCGCCAGTCCGGCTCCGGCTCCGACATCCAGGAGAAGTACCAGGGCGCCAACAGCCACCTGTCCGCAACCGGCTCTGTGCGCGGCAAGGTCACCGGCTCGGTGGCCACGCGAGCCCGCAAACGCAGCTTTGAGACCGAGGAGGGCCTCTCGACCAACGACATCAAGGAGCTGGATATACTGGGTGAGTCTGGTGGTGAGGTGGGTGAGAGTGAGATAGATATACTGGGTAGGTGAGCCGGTGTGGGCGGCGGGAGGCAGCACCGGTGGACGCGTACTTCGGGATACGAGATGTTGTTGGATGATGGTTAAGACAGAAAGTAATTCCCTTCCCTGTAAAGCCGGTATTAAGCCCGCTCGCCATCTAACCAACGAGCAAGTGCTTTCACTACTACGAGCATGGTGTAGACTCGAGAGGGACAGTTTCCACGAACGGCGGACTGGGACGAGCCGGACGGACCCGCGGCGCCGATGTTGTGGTGGGCAGGGACCGTCTCACGGGGTGGATTTGACTCGCCGCGCCCGGCTAACTCGATTGGAGGAAAGGGAAGCAGCTGACGGAGGCTAGTAGCACTGGGCAGTGGGCATACTGTCTGTGTGTCATACACGTTAATGATGACAGCTCTATTCAGGGAAAGTGGATCTCGTCATTGTTTTTCACCGGACAATGCCAAATTCATCTTCAAAATGAGTCGTACCTGAAATGAGCTTAAATTAAGTTTCCGCTTCTTTTATGTAAAAACCGCTGCTGTTTCAGGTTTCCCGAGTACCCACAAAGGCTAAGGACGTCTCTATGGAGCCGTGATGACCTCAAGACTCGGAACTGACCTGACCTGACCTGCGTCCCGTGTGGGGTGTCCGTTTCGCGTGCTGTGACTCTGTGCTGTCCCGCGCCCCCCAGCTGATACTCATTCATTGGTCAACTGTATGCCTGTTTGTGAGCCCGTCAATGCGATGTGAATATATGGGGTAATGCAAGAGCGCGTCTTTGCGAGATTAATGTATGTGTATGTGAGAGGATGGCAAAGGGGATAATGTAGATATTATTGAATGTTAATCTAGTGAATTAGAAGCAATTACACATTGTGATTAGGCCGACGGAAGAAAAAGAAAAAGAATGAAGCATCACAACTCATTCGATACGCAATGTTACGACGATCATTCAAATGGTTAGGTGGGCCGGGCGTAACTGACGACAGATGGTCAGAGCAACACCAACTGCAATGTCATAGATCACATGATCTTCCATGTTCATGTAATCCCTGACAATGCACATAACACAACGCACACGCCGCATGAGCAGGGTAATAGAAAAGAAGAAAACCCAACACAGAATCGATGATGGAAAGGCGGTGGAGGCAAAAGAAAATAACGGAGCCAGATGGGGGAGACACCAGCTGCGGAAATATGACGGAAAAACGACGCAAGCAATGGGGCTGTTACCGGGCTAGAATACGACATACTGGTGCTCCCAGGACAACCAGCTATCAGGAAAGGACCACTGCATGCCTGTTGCCTACGTAAAAATAAAGGATAGCACAATTACACTTCTGGACTTATGCTGAAGATATATAAAAGACGAAGTGTGTAACGCGGAACTGACACAGCGTACCACAAAGAACGTGTTTATTACAAAAGCAACCCTTTCGAGAGGGTCAAGCTGAACTCCGAACTGAGAAGTTGTTGCTCTAAGATGTCCATGAACGCGTTCTTTTCCGCGCACAAGTTCATCCTTTCGTTCACGTGCACTCTATCTCTCCCCTTTTGACTACCTGCAACGGACCCCACTCTTCCAGAAGCAAGAGACGCTCGGTTCATCTGCAGTCTAACCCAGCAGAGGCAAACTCTCAATCTCCATCGCACGTCGAATAAGAGTTCTCTATCTCTAAAACCACTTCATACACAAACCACTGGTCCGCTCAGATCGACGCCGATGAACGCGAAACGAATTTCCACCGGCGACTTCCGCGGGACACGAACAAAACCACGTCGGCAATCATCGCGCCGGCGCGACGCTTCTCACTCGACCGCCGAATTTCCGCACTTCATCGTCGGCAAAATGAACAGCTCATCGCTAACTTTGACCACATAACCCAAAGACACACACGGAGTCCCGATTGGTCGCGGGACCGCTCCCAGGCGAGGTCCGAGTCGCCGCTAACTGCCGACGACGGGGGACGGACGGCCCCGGATCGCTAAGACTACGCTCCTGCCGCTCCAGCAACGGTGATCGGGAAACGGCACGTTTGTACAATGTGTTGCCATAGACCGGCAACGCTAGACGCAGAGGGATTCCCTTCGAATGTCTACATCTACCAAAACTGAAATTAAAATCCGCGCAGTGGGAAAGCGGCGTTCGACGCCATAAAACAACTGTGACTCCTTTCGATTTTTCACGGTCCACCGAGGCTGCCCTGCGTGGATGAGGTCCTTGTCTTCAGAACGAATCTTCCACAACCCCGCTGTATGAACGCTATTGATTATCGGAGCCGACAAGCCATGACACACACCTCGCCAGAGATCTCGAGAACACCGCCAAGTGACTCCTCCGAGCCTGAACACGACTCTGCTGCTTCGTGCTAAATCTCTACGCTACATCCTGCTGCTCCTCTCCGTCCCGGGATCGCGTCTCAGCGCCGGTCGCGTTTTCGCGTGGGTCGCTTTCGTCCGTACCTCTCGATGGCCTGCTCGATGGCCTCCTTGTGCTCGAACACGGAGGTGATCTGCACCTTGGCCTCGCTCAGCTGGTCGCGCAGGATCTTGCTCCGCTGCACGTTACCCTGGTGGTGAACGGAACAGGAGTTAAACGATTGTTACTTGTTTGTAGCGTTTTTAGGGCGCATCGATATAGGAGTCATTATGCGCCCATTGGGAGTTTGACCAATGCCCAAACACCATCATATCGGGAGTGAAGCACAGAGCGGGGACACGGCAAAAAGACACTGTCGGTGGTATTTGATAAACTACAGCGTGAAGTTCATTGTAATTTTGGTTTGAACCTTGTTTCATGTGGATTATACTATTACTAATTGATCTACATAGGTACTTGATCGACTTTGAATAAACACATATGGTTCTAATTCATAAAATAGACGCTCGTGATATCTGGTTGAGCCCCTGCGACCACGTCCCCGTCCTTACCTTGATGAGCTCGTTCAGCTTGGTGATCTCTTTGTCCTCTCGCCGCGAGAACGACATGCGTTCGGAGGCACGCAGCATCTCTGTGAGGCGCCGGTGGACAGTACGCTCCACCTCTGCCAGCTCGTCCAGCTGACCTGAATAAGGCAGGAGAGTGGGGTCAGGTAAGTGGATGAGAAGAGTAAGTTTTAGGTGAATAGGATGCAGAGAGTTTAAAGAGGCGGCATGTAGAGATTGCCATCCCGGAACGTTTTACCAATCCCGGGATCCCGAAAGTTTTTATTTCGGGATCCCGGGATCCCGGGATCCCGGTCTTGTCACTAAATGTCGTAAGAGTGATTTCCTACTGACATATTTTGCGTCTTTTAGCTTACCACAAACAAAGAGGCAACCAAAAGCCATCCTTAGACCATGTCATTTGCATTAAAAACGATTGAATTTGCGAATAAAACGTTTCGATTTGATTAGCATTAGCATTTATTCCCAATTGGCCTTCATAAAACTGTGCGTCGACCAGTACGTTTACTAGACGGGTTCCAGCATATCCACGCCTCACTCACTCTTCCTCTACGCTACTCGTAGTTAGCGCGACAGTTTTAAGCCATTGCCATGCTGGTAGGTCTGTCTACTTAAAAACTCGCAACCAGTGTACGCCAACTTTGGCAGCTCCCTATTTCACAATGTTTTCAAAACGTCGCTTGGTCACTTTACCTCCTTCCGGTTCCGCTTTCATCATTAATGTCTCTCAGAATTTGCTCGAAAGTCGCTTTGAGAGCAGAGTCACTGACTGGGAGAGCTCCACTCTACCGTCTTCAACGTCTGAATCAGTGAGCTCTGCCGTCACTTGCGTGACATCTGTGACATGTTTCTGCGACACGAGCTCAAAGACTGTCTTGATGACCTCCTTTGTTCCGGCCACGGACGGGCAAGTCAGAATCGCTGAACGATCTGTGATCCTGATAAAGATGTTGCAGCGCTGATGCTGCAATTTTTTTTTTTGGCGTTCGGGACCCATTTTCGTACGTATTTAAGCGGCTTGACCGCTGTGGGTGATACCCGAGAGCTACCAACACGGTCGATTGTCGACGGCCAATACGGGGTGCCAGCTAAATAGTTTATCTGCGTTATGTCACGCAGCACCATAAACAGTGTAAACAAGACTCGTGCAGCGGCTGCATTCTTTTTAAGGTGAAAAACTGATTCTTTTCGGGATCCCGGGATTGGCGGAATTTCGGGATCGGGATCGGGATTAAAATCCCGCCGGGATCCCGATCCCGGGATTGCAATCTCTAGCGGCATGTGACCCAGTGCTATAGGTAACTATCCGCGGTCGGTGGCACGGAAGCGAACATTTTTGAGGGACATATGACAATCACTCACTCAAGAAACTGCCCATATGTACATACTAGTTTATGCGCAATCAGTTTCAAATAGGTAAGTCGTTGCTATTACTCCATCTTCTCCTGACGGGGATGGTCTGCGGTTGGTGGGAGCAGCCGCAGCCAGTTGAAGTCAGTTGAGTGGGGCAGGCCGTGTCTGGCTTTGAAGGACACGTTAAACTTTGGCATCTAAATTCTCCCGATACCCGAAATTGCGCGATCGGACGATAGGGGTCGGGGTCTACGCAACAAGCTCTGCTTAGCGTGGGCTCCGGCTCCATTCAAACATTCGAGCTAAATTTATTTTAAAAAAAACTTGCACACACCAATCGATTTGCGTGAGGGTGTGAATAAGCCAAGACAAATTTGGCATTGAGCTTGTGAGCCATAAAAAAGGTCAAACAGTATATGGCAGTATGGCTCGTTTAAATAATCCTGTTGTCCGATTCACGGCGTCAAATTATCTTGTCAGCCCCATTTTCCGTGTATATAAATGCACCTGGAGCAAAGGTGTGGCTGCCCATTTGCGAAATTACGAAGTGTTTCCTTTCACTGTTCCGGCTGACAGGAGGTAGATGGCGCCGATTTGACACTGACGGCCGCCGCCATGTCACGGCGGCGGCAGGTCGCGGCTATGAGACCCGCAAGGTTGGGCCGGCAACAGTCACTGAAGCTACCTTGACAGCCTTCGGCTCACCAGTCCCGAGCGGGATACAACTTCGCCTCAGCGCCGCACTGAATACATATTCAGTAGGAATTACCGACCTAAATATGACGCACGATTGCAAAAGTGAGCGTACTTGCATGGCTAAGTATCAGAATCTGGGACATCTTATGCAAGTGCAAGTGAACCTGAGGTAGAATAAGCATGAAACACTTCTGCATGAACTAAAATAAGCACGGAATAGGAGCCTGCGGCGACGTCGTAACTCTTCAATAGCCGGAGGAAAGAATACAGAAGCATGTATTTGAGTGACAAGTAACTACCGAAGGCTACGTCGAATTGCATGTTGAAGCATACCCTACATACCCTTGACTTTCTCATCCATGCCTATGGCGTCAGCGCGATCAAGAATAGATCAGGGGCTTGCCTAAGCGTGTCCTTCAAAATATAGCGGCGGGCCAGTATACAGGTATCGAAGGCGATTATGTTAGGGCGATATTATTTCCGTGCCAAGAATGATGATAAGCATACATGATGGTGACTGAGCAGCGAAGGGAGTGGTAAGCCGTTTGGTGGTAATTGACTAGTAAGGGGGCAAGAGTAAACAGATACATATGCTAATGTATGCATAATACGAAAAAACAACAATAAAAACAAAAAATAATGCAGTTATGGTTATGGCTGGGGTGGCGTAAAATATGTCGCACATATGCTGGAAGAAAAACAACAGAAGAGCAACCAATGATTCGTTGCATTGTGACTTCAGTGTCGCTAAAGGAGGCAATTTGGGCCAGCTAAAACGATCAAGAATCTCGATATCAAGATGGTCAAAATCCCTGGTGACGACCAACACTACGGACAGCGTAGAAAGCGGAGCTCGGCAAAAAAAAAAGGAGCCAGTTATCCGAGACAATATCTAAAAGGCGTATCTTTGATGAAAAGCATTGAGAATGGCGTAAAGATGACAGCAAAAGACAATGCACCAAACAACCCTCGTGCTATATCAATGTCATTAGTGTCCTGTTCCACTATAACGCCACCCCCTGATCCCGACCCAGCTCTTTTGACCTGGAGGCTGGAACCTACCCGAAATATGGTGGATCTTCCATCCGTTGACCTTCTGCGAGATGTGCTTCTGACTGGCCAGGTCGGCGATGGTCGGTCTTCGCTCATCGCGTCCCCGTACATCGGTATACTTGACGAAATGGCTCGAGGCCGGCTTCCAAGTGCGGGGGCCGTACGAGTTGAGGAGCGACATCGCCGGCCGCTTCGGGGGCGGCGGCGCCGGCTCGGAGGGTCGCGGTGCCGCCGCCGCCGCCGTCGACGCTGCCGACGATGACGCCGGTGTGCGCATGTGCTCCCGGAGGAAGTTCATTTCGTCGTCGCTGCCCGGCCGCGCCGGCCGCGGACGGCTGAACGGTACGGCAGGGAACGAGGCCGCCGGCGCCGCCGACGCCGTGGACGCCCTGTGGACAGAGGGTCGTGGGTGAGGGTTCGCCGTAACTGGGAGTGAGGTGAAAGCTCGCCCAATGATGGAGATGGCTCAAAGACGGTGATCTATGAGCATTCCACTGAACAGGTACAGGCAAGATCGTGAGATAGCGAAGTTCTTATATGTTGGGAAATGCATGGGAAAAGCAGTCCAGGATTTCACTATTCCAGCGCGAGACCAATCAATATGTTCACGCGCTTTTGCTCACAAGAACCCCGTTAAACTTAGGCATTTAAAACCCCTCTCGGAACTGTCTTATTCTTAACAAAAACCCGTCCATTTTTTTACGTCCACATACCACACCTTCACCTTCATTTTCTGCTTATTAGTCACTCACAGGTTCTGTTTGCGCGGCTTTTTCCTGGGGCTGAGTCCGAGGGGCGGCGTGGCCGTGCCGGGGACCGGCCCGCTGGCTCCAGCCGCCGCTCCGGCTCCGGCTCCGGCACCGCTGGTAGCTCCGGCTCCGGTAGAGGTGGACGGCGTGGGCTCGTCGGCGCCCTCCTGGCCGGCCGGCTCTCCCGGAGAGGACGAGGCCGATATAGTACTGGACGAGTGGCCCGACGAGTCGGGCCGACGGGGAGGAGAGGAGGGCGGCGAGCCCCCGCCGCCCCCACCCCCACCGCCGCCGGAGCCGGAGGGACCGGCGCCGCTGGGACCCGGCACACTGGTGCCACTGGTGCCGCTAGTGCCGCTGGTGCTGGCCACTGCCACCGACAGCTGGTGACTGAGGTTCCGCACCGCCCGGCCTCCGGGGGTCCTGCCGCCAGAACGGGCATGTTGCATGGGAAGACAAGGACCCGTGAGTCAGTGCACAAACGAAATAAATGAATGACATAAATGAATGGATTAATGAACAAAAAAAAATAATAACGAATGAATTCAATGAATGAATGAATTCAATGAATGAATAAATTGAATGAATTTAATAACTTAAATGAATGAATGAATTCAATGAATTATATGAATGAATGAATGAATGAATGAATGAATGAATGAATGAATGAATGAATGAATGAATGAATGAATGAATGAATGAATGCATGAAAATTCAGCAGTAGGGTGGCACTCACATTTCACTGGGCGGTTTTCTCAGGATGCTCGGCCGAGGTGAGGTCATTTTGGCGGCCTGCGGTGACTGAGGAGTAGCGTGCGGCTGCAGACGTCCCTCCAGGCCCCTGACCAGCCGGCCGGCGCCACTCGGCCCTGAGACAGCACCGGTATCAACGAGTTAGAGAGCGTGATACTGATACACACCGCAAAGATAAAACACATGAAAACGCATACATAACGAAAAATATATCGTCACTAGCGACAGAGAATAGATTCGAACAATGTCACGCCAGTGACAGAAGCGAGCATCCGGAGCTATAACGGCTTCCGAAACTCATTGCTGCCTAACAGTCTCGCCGCCTCCCACAGCACTGATGCTTTGTAGTCCCATACGAGACGTAGGGACAGGGGAGCTGATCACTATTGTCGGCCAAGAGGCGTGCAATAAATCGGCAATGCTGGGCAGAAGAACTAGACGAGGTAGCTGTAGAGGTAGTAGAGATCACCTACAGGCTGACACGGAAAAGGGACCTTGGATGGTATTGAACATGGCAGCGTCACTCACCTGGCGTGGGCTGCCGTACAGCGGCGTAGCCGGCGTGCTCGAACACCACGCCGGCCGGCACGCCGTATTGGGCGGCCGTGGCGCGGAGCACGGCCGCCGGAGGCTCCCCTGTGTAACACATTTCAGGTCAGGTCAGGTCAGATCAGACTACGAGAAATGTCAATGACACTTACTCACCGCATGACTTATCCAAATGCATTTAATCACAACACATAGTGCATACAATTATCTAATGACTTTTGACGGAGTCACCCTTCCCGTATAAAAAACAAGCTAAAAATATCACGAATACACATCATTCTAAGACGATTTTTTGCGTCAAATTAATAGAAATGCAGTAATTGTGACCCCTCCATACCTGGATGGCGCAGCTGTTGCGGTTGGAGGGTCTGATCGCGGCTGGTCGCTGGCTGCTGCTGCTGCTGCTGCTGTGGGTGCTGTGGGTGGTGAGCCTGCAAGTGCTGCGGCTGGTGCTGAGGCTGGTGCTGATGCTGGTGCTGAGGCTGGTGCTGAGGAGGGTGTTGAGGATGGTGAGGGGAAGGGTGCTGGGATGGGTGCTGGGAAGGATGCTGCGGTGGGTGCTGGGACGGATGTTGTGGTGGGTGCTGGGACGGATGCTGTGGTGGATGCTGGGAGGGGTGCTGGGTCTGGTGGGATGGGTGCTGGGCTTGGTGCTGAGGCGGGTGCTGCGTTGGGTGTTGAGGCTGATGTGCCGTGTGCTGGGGCTGGTGCTGTGCTGGGTGCTGTGCTGTGTGCTGAGCTGGATGCTGTGCTGCGTGCTGCGGGTGGTGCTGCGCTGGATGTTGAGGGTGGTGCTGCTGGTGCTGCGGCGGGTGGTGCGCAGGCTGCGGGTGCGGCTGGTGCTGAGCATGCTGCTGCTGAGGATGCTGCTGCTGTTGCTGCTGAGGGTGCTGTTGCTGCTGTTGATGCTGCTGCTGGTGAGGGTGCTGCGGCTGAGCCGGTGGCTGCTGCTGCTGATGCTGCTGCTGGGGCAAAACCTGAAAACGCAAGGACATGCAGGAGTAAAAAAAAAATATCAGTTTTCAGGTAGGAAGAAAATACAATGTTTCATCGCTCCACCAAGTCTTACTGAACCATCCGATTATCACTAAATGAACGATAATACCCATTAAAAGTAAAAAATACGATATATTATCAGCAAAATAAAACTCCTAACCGCTAATTGGGAGTTTCCTGCTCCAAAAAATACACAGAACGTGCGGCCCATAAATAGATCCCTGTTTAGCCGCGGATCGCGACGGAACGGAAAAGCTCCGGTCACAGAATACGCCGACGGGCGTGACTTCATCGTATGTCACCGCCTCACATCAGAGACCAATACATTCTACGGAGCGTATTGACATTAGCTGACTTGTTACAGGTTGTAGCAATTACGAAAACTATGAAGTTGGTTGAGTAGTGTGGAAAGAAGCGTTGCTAGAAAAGTGAAAAAAAAAACATTGACTGAGGTTACTGGAAATATCAAAATCTGTGCGCTTTGCAAATCCGTGCCGAAAAGCTTTCAGCTTTAAAGTATGGATGGAAAGCCAGTTGATGACGTTTTCGTCTTTAATTATCCGTGGATCCGCAGGGACTGAGGACAGGGGTTGCCTGATTGCCTGATCATGGGTATCGGACTATTAGAAAAAAAGAATAGACACCAGAGCCGCAATAATGCGAAGGTCGGCGATACGATGACATCCACGAGTCACGACTCACATGAATTGACTAAACAATGCTCGAAAGGTCTCCATTAACGCATTTCGCCTCCGCAAAACCGCTTGCACAAGTCAAAATGTTTGTCGATGGCTCCTGCTAATAGCCACAGGTTGACAAACGAGAACGATTCGCCACACCATCGAATACAATAATTGCGGCAACAATGCATCATCTATTTACAGAAGTTGCGCCGCCTCTATAGGGACATCACATCCGACGTTTAGCCGACCGAAATTACCGTGTCAACATGTCATCGATGACAATGGTGCGGTCGGCGCCTGTCGACCAGGGGAGGGGGGGGGGGGGGGGGGGGGGGCGCCACCCCGCGCTGGCCGTGTCAATACGGCAGGACACGGCCGGACGCGCGACGGCCGCCCGCACAGCCGCGGGTCCACGTCAAACACCGACCGCAATTTAAGTCGCGCTAACTTGTCAAACGATAACGGCTGGCGAATGCGGCCAAGGGCAGCGTGACGGACGACAGACAGATGGTTTTTGTTTGAGAGGGAGCTTGTCGCGAGGACGCTTAAGGAATAACTTTTGTTTGTTGGAGGTTTTTAGGCTCGTTGACAGCAGGATCATCACGCACTCATTACGAAGAACTTCTAAGAGCTTATTGGACTTGCCATCAAAGAGTCACGATAAAAAACGATTCTGATGTTCCTGTTCACAAAAAAACGAATAATAAACATCAGCAGTACGCTGCTTTCCTTAAAAGCTTCTATGTATTCTAAAAAGACCTGTGCCCTTTCGAGTCCTGCCCACTGTTCCTTTCCTTCCCCACGTACCTTGGCCACTGGGATGGCAGTGGACGAGGTCTGCACGACGGCGGCGGCGGCGACAGCAGGAGCCCCGGCAGACGAGGCGGCCGGCGCCGCGGACGCCGCGGTGGACTGGGAGGTGGCCGCCCGCACCTGGCCGCCCTGGGTCGGCACAAACTGGGACAGCTGCAGCGGCGGCCCGTGCGCCGGCTGCGTGATCACCTGGCGCAAAGCACAGAGTCAGAGACGTTAGCTAGCGAAATACACAGCAAGGTATTTGGTATGTGAATAGCAGCTCTATAGCTAAGTTGATGAAGATCGTGTATGTGGAGGAGGTTTGATCATTGCCGACGAATCAGTCACACGACTCACTCGTTAAATTGTTCCGCAGAGTCCCTTTGGAATCCTGACAGCTTTTCGTTCATTAGCCCCTGCTAGCTCAGCTCTCAGTATGCGCCATTAGCTCACCTTGGCTCCCTGCTGTCCGGGGGCCGGCCAGGGCACCGTCATGGTGATCTGATGTCCGCCGCCGGCCTTTGTAGCAGCACCGCTCGGTGCGGGACCGGCATTCACCGTCAGAGGCAGCGCCTCCCCGCGGTCCCCAGACGAACTAGCACTGACAGAGAAGCCGCCGGGCGGCGCTGGCACCGAGAGGTGGACCGGTCCCCTGATGACCTGCTGCTGCCCGCGGCCGGCCGGCAGCCTTTCAGAGGAACAACGGAAGACGGAGACTGTCAGTGTCGAAGCCACGAGTGGCTCGGTAACCATTTACCAATTTAGCAAGCACCGAATAAGACCAATTCATTTGTGAAATTATGACGAAAAACACAAGCCTACTCAAACGCCTAAATGCACGTAAATACGCATCCTTAGTACGTGGTCACGTAGACATGCATGCATTACAAATGCAAACATGCATGCTGATTAGTTCAGAAATGCGCAGCCGGAAGAGGATTCATTCTGACGCCCGGCTGTGACTATTCACAGAGGCGGTTCAAACGACATTCATGAAGCGTTTACTGAAATCACCACTAGGGCTAAACCCCTGTTCAATCCCGTCCCACCCCAGTCTCCCCTCGTATCCACTCACATTGAGTATGTGATCGGGCCGCTCTGCCGCAGGGTGGTGGCGGCGCCAGCCAGCGCGCGGGGCACCTTCTCAGCGGCAATGTGGGTGATGTGTAGGGGACGGGGCGCCGCACCGCCGGACGGGCTGACCAGCCGCGCCTGGGGCGACACGGTGCGAGCGCCGCTCCCTGCCACACGGTCAGGGTAGGGGTTAGAGGAGGTGTGCGAAACACGATATGGTGTTAGCGATGATAATCAATTACAACGTAGGCCGTAAGGAGCACTGAAAACTTCTGTAGCATGATGAAAATACGATACATTTGTTATACTGAACCATAACGAAACAAACAAATGGAACTACTTACGCACTGTTTACTTATCTAAAAAAAAAAATAGGCAATGGAAAATATGAAGTCAGAGCCTGTTAGTCAGATCAGCCTTTGATACTGCAAGCATTTCGGTCTGGTGAGGTCAGATTATACCACATCAGATCCAGCCAGGTCAGATAACACCATCTCGTATTAAACCACCGACCTGTGTGTCCGACGGTGACCCGCGCCGGGCCGGCTGCCCTGACCGCTCCCCCGGCCGACATGGTCACAGTGGACAGCTTGGCGGCCTTGGCAGCCGTCTTGGTTGCACCGCCCGCTGTAGAAGAGAGGAACACAGCTCAGTTAATCGTCCAAGTCATGTCAGGCTGGTGGTCGCTGAGGCAAAATAATAAGCGCGAAGGCTTTAATATGATGAAGGCTATATTTTTCAACGGAGCAATTGGAATGCGTCAAAATCAAGTATACAGAATAAACCGAAAAAATATCACCGTTTAAATGCCGTGAATGCTAAACGTTGACCATATCAACACCACATTGAATGATAGCCACAGTGCATAAACGGCAAAACGGTGATCAGAATTTCCGACTCCGGATACACCCAGTCTGATCCCTCCCAGAACGCAAACGAAGAACTGCCCTGAGCTCCCCTCTATTATACGCACCTTGGCTGGGCGCGGCGGGTGCGGCTCGCAGCAGCACGGGCTGCGCGCCGCCGATGGAGGTCACCGGTACGACCAGACCGGCGGGGAGAGAGGTCGGGGTCATCGCCCGGTGGCTCACCTGGTAACTGGGGGGAGGGGGTGTCACAGGGTCAGAGGTCACACCTGGTAACTCGAGAGGGAGGGGGTCACAGAGGTCGGTGCCATCGCCCGGTGGCTCACCCTGTAACTAGAAGGTTCCAGAGAGGTCAAACAAGGGTCACGACACAAACAACTTGTCAAAAAGTGACTATAGCTAATGATAAAACTACGAAAAAATTATAGAACCTTCCATGAATGTCTAATAACACAGCTGGTCAGCCTCTATCTCGCATTCCCTTCAAATCACGTACATACGTTCCCTCTCCCTCTCCCTCCCTCCTACCACACACCTCTAGCCCAGGTATCTCCCCTCATCCCGACAACTTCCCTCTCACATTCCAGTTCCACCGTTTTCCTTCATCCTTACCTGACTGAGTGGGCGCCGGTGCCGACTATACTCGAGATGGGCAGGTGTCCGACCCGCACCGCCTGGGGGCCAATCACCCGCGGAGAGGACCCGGCCGAGCCGGTGCCTGCGGGCGACAGGGGTCACCAGGTGGTCAATGCGGTCATCGGGAATTACACGGAGTCACCCAGAAGGTCATTTTACTGCAGCAAACTATAATTGGATGCTGATGTACTTGCAATGCGGTTTACGATTAAGTATACGAAAGACCGATAAAAAACGGTCTGAACCCATATTGTCAATCATGCAGACACTTGGCCAGGTCACCTTCCTGTACTAGCCCTTGGCCAGTTCCCTATCCAATAACGACCCCCCAACTAGCTACTCCCCATCCTGTATCGACCCCTGGCCCCTGACTAGTTGCTCCCCATCCTATACCGACCTCTGGCCAGATGGTAGGCGGTGGGCTGCAGGTGGGTGCCACTCTGCGTGGATCCGGCTCGTGACATGACGGGGGTCATTAGCGCGATGGTGCCGCCGCTGCCCTGTACGCCGACTGCTGAGCGTGATACCGTCAGCAGGCCCTGGTGGCCCAGCACGGCCACCGCCTCTGCACACGGAGAGAGAATGGGTACAGGGTCGGGAAGGGCAGGGATACACTACACACAGTGAATGTGTAGACCAGTGGTCGGCAGGTCCTCCGGTGTCGTGCCCCCTTTTCGGGCGCCAGGCAGGGCCATTACCCCCACCTACCAGACCGCATTGCATACACAACCAAGTTTACTGAAATGCCATACCTTTCCGTGACACTTTGGGTATTTCGGGCATTATTATGTAAAAAGCGTCGTATTACGACACAATTGTACCCTCGAGCCGATCGTTTTTTCTGTTATAAAAATTTCATATATTGACACAAATAACCGTTGACTTGTCAGCTGTTTCTTGAGATCATGATAGGTCATACAATCTCAATTCTAGAAGTAACAGCGGGTCCCGATCTTCTCCACAATTGCATTATCATTGACCTCTTGAAACTCTTGAAGCTAGAACTTCACGGAAAAAACGAGCGTGTTGCCCGTGACTAGACGAAGCTGATGATACCCAATTTTAAGGTCCTACTATGCATTTCAGACCCCATGAGACCCTGTTTTTCGGCGATAATTTATCTAATATTTATCCCATTGGCTTCAAATTTTCGCACAGCTCATTTCAGCTCAAGCGCCAATTTTCGCTAATATGGTCTCTTAACAAAATATCAATTGCTAGGGTACTTGTCGTTACCTCGTAATGTTAAAATCATCTCCGTAAATCCGTCAGTGGAGTAGAGGCTATCCGTACGTAGGCGTGACGTCACAGGCACGTGACCATTAAGCTCCGCCCTCCCGGCGGACGGAGCGGTGACCTTGGCCGGTCAGTCGGATGCGTGGAGCCGACGGGGCAGTAGCTGCCGGACCCAAGTCCGTATGCCGGACCGGGGCGGCTCGCATTGGACGTGGCTGCCCTGCGGTTGCCGTTGCAGTAATAACGATACAGCAGAAACTAGCGCTCGTAATTAGCGCACTAGCCTTCGTTATTGCATTTATCGCAAATTAACCTACACCTTGTCAATCAATAAAGAATAAAGATATACCTACTTTAATACTAAGTTCAGGGCTAGTGACTGCATTTTTGCTCGATTGAACGTCATTAAAAAAGGCCGTTGATGTCAATTGACTGTGAACTGATGCAAGACATCGGTCAGCCTACGTCAAATTTGCAAGACATGGTAAACAGTTACACCGTAGCATTTAAGAAGTGTGGTTGAAATTAAAATATGAAATATATTATGCCTATGCGTATGCTTGAGATGGACTCACGTGATTGCGGTGCAACATGACACCTTCAGAACTAACCCAAATTGGCTAGATTGAGGTCTTCGGACTGACTTGACACCAGGCTTTCGTGTTGAACTGCAAATAATTAAAATACCTGCTAGCAAGTAACCTACTGCCTCACTTTTGGAGAGCTTGAAAAGTTACTTAAGTTTCACAAAAAGACGCGATTTCTTTACTAGCCTATGCGCTTGTTTCCCTTATTCGGATGTCACATTTCTACGCAATAAATCACACATCACATTTCTGCTCCCTTCTCAACGCTTCCCGAATTACGAACACAGCTCGTGGAGCGATGTCTTAGGCAATCGGAAGTACTCGCGACTAAGTATCCTACTCTGCTGTTTTCTGCATAGGATATAACAGCGTCTTCAGAAACGGCAATTGACGCAGCCAACCATATCGATATATTCAAGTAGTGCAGAGGCTTCGCATGATGTCATAGGTGACAGAATAGTGGCACGACCTGACCATGAGATAGGCGCCAGAATGTGCACTCATTCAGATATTCAGATAGTGCATGACTCAGCTCTCCATTTAATGTTGGTTCTGAGGAGGTTAATATCGTCATTATGATTATTCTTCATATTCTGAGCTGGATCGGTGTTGATATACCAAAAAGAGAGAAGCGGTTACCAACTCCCTCGAATAAAGAGCAAGCTTTCGCTCATACACTTCCTGTCGATCAAACATGTTTCCAGTGCGCGGCTCCCGTGCGACCTCTCCGCGGTGCTGACGCCGACTGAGCCGGCATAGACCCAGCGCGGTCACGGCCAGTGGGCGGAGTTTAGTTGGGCCCGGCGCAACGTGATTGGCCAGCGCTCCCATCCAATTCGCTGCGGTAGCGAACGAGCCTCTATCCGGGTGCAAAATCTAATTAGCATTACGAGCTTATGACAAGTGCTCTAAATATTGACATTTTGTTAAGAGACCATATTGATGAAAATTGGCGCTTTAGCTGAAATGTCTAAAGTCAAAATTTTAAGCCAATTAGACAAAAACTGAAGAAATTATCGCCGAAAAACAGGGTCTCACGGGGTCTGAAATACATAGTAGGTCATTGGATGGCCTTCCAGGTCAGGTCAATGACCAACAAAGTCGGGAAAATCGAGACCTGTCAAAACTTCGTAATGAGGTTGTTGTGGGGTTTTCGGGGTACTGATCACGAATTTTATCTCAGTTTTGCTCACATATGATGTATTCGTGCATTTAGGCCAGGTCGGGTCAGGTCAGGTCAACCAGTAGGCGTCCTGCCGGGTATTTAAAGTATAGGCATCAACCACCACTGACAGCTTCGTAACATGTTACGAAGGCACCAAAATTACTTAGTCGTAAATGTTCAAATGGTTGCGAAATTGGAAATCAGCTCCAATGTATAAAATTGATCAACTCGTGTCTCGTACTGACAATTTTGTCTTGATCGGCCGCTTTTTGCGCGAGTTATTCGAGAAAAAAAAACGAGGAACAGGGGGGTCCCCCTATAAGTGCGAAGGTTAAAATTGAGTAGCAGCGGCTTCCTATCGTCACGGGTAGCACGCTCGTTTTTCTACCGCAAAGCTCCAGTTCAGAGGCAGAGAGGCTGGGGTCCAATCGGCCCCTCCCCGTTTAAGTTAGCTGCTATGAAAACGCCAATAGAGGGGCGCCGGTTAGCGTTCGACCTGGACTTATCTTTGAACCCTGGGACCAAACAGTCGTGATGTCTGTCCCATCAGGGGAGCCATTTATTCTAAGATGAGGCTTTCTGAGAGACCCCTATTACCCCCCGCCGATGGGCTCCATTACCCCCAAAGGGGGCATGCCCCACCATTTGCCGACCCCTGGTGTAGACGATACATTGGCATTGCACAAGGGCGCACACAAGGGGGGGGGGGGCACACGGGCCCGTGCCCCCCCCATTCGAGTTGGGGGGCCCACCTCGAAGGAATAGGGGCCCATCTGAGGCGGCCGAAGGCCGCCTCAAATGGGCCTCTAACTTATCCTTAGACCACCGAAGACCGTGTACAAAGGGCCCTCAAATGGCCTTAAAGGGCCCTCAGATGGTCTCAAAAGGCCCTCAGTTGGCCTCGAAGGGCCCTCAGATGACCTCAAAGGGCCCTCAGCGTCATAGGGCCCTCATCTGGTGTCAAAGGGCCCTTAGATGGTGTCAAAGGGCCCTCAGATGGCCTTAAGGGCCCTCAGATGACCTCAAAGGGCTCTCAGATGGCCTCAAAGGGCCCTCAGCTAACGTCAAACGGACGTCAGAAGGCCTTAAAGGGTGTCAAAGGTCCCTGAGCTGGCGTCAGAGGGCCATGCCCTTGCGTCAAACGGCTCTCCGAAGGCTCTAAAGGGTCCTTAGCTGGTGTCAGAGGGCCCCCAGCTGGTGCCAGATGACCCACAGCTGGCGCCAAATGTCCATCAGAAGGCCTCAAACGGTCCTCAGCTGGAGTCCAACGGTCCTCAGCTGGCGTCAAGCGGCCCTTAAAAAGCCTCAAAGGGTCCTTAGAAAGCCTCAAGGGGCCCTTAGAAGACCTCAATGGGCCCTCAGAAGGCCTTAAAGAGCGTCAAAGGACCTTGAGCTAGCGTCAGAGGACCCCCCAGCTTATGTCAGAGGGCCCTGAGCTAGCGTCAAACTTAAAGTGCCCTTAGCTGGTGTCAGAGGGCCCCAGTTGGTGTCAGAGGGTCATCTATTGGCGTCTAATGGCCATCAGAAGGCCCAAAAACGATCCTCAGCTGGCGTCCAACGGTCCTCAGCTGACGTCAAGAGGCCCTCAAAAGGCCTCAAAGGCCCCTCGACTGCTCAAAGGGCCCTTAGAAGGCCTCAATGGGAACTCAAGAGACGTTAAACGGCCCTCAAAAGGCTTGAAAGGACCATCTGCTGATGGCAAAGGGCTCGCACCTGAGTCAATAAGAGCCTTGTCAAAAACGGACCTGAGAAGCCTTGCCGGCCCTGGTTATCTGCGGGACTCCTACACTTACCTGAGTGGCCCCCGTTTACTGAGGGGCCCGGGTTATAGATGGGGTCCCTGGTTACTTGAGGGGCGCCTGGTTACCAGAGGGGCCCATGGTCACCTGGTGGGCCCCTGATCAATTGAAAACCCCTGGTCATCTGAAACGCCCCTGATTACCTAAAGGGTCCCTAATCACTTGGATTCAGTGACATAGCAAGGGAGCGAGGGGGTACGTGCCCGTTCTCGGGTTTAGGGTTCCTTCGAAACCGAGGGGCGCTGCAGCGCCAGTTGGTAGCAGAGGGTTCGCGCTGGCCGCACGTCAACTCGGAAGGACACCACAGGGCTTGTGGGGGGACGTTATTGGCTCCTATGTAGCCACAATTATCTTCATAAAGGCCCAATGCCGGTTTCTGAGAGACCTCACCGGCCGCTCAGGGCCCTAGTAACGGCCAACGAGGGATTGGCTGCTATGGCTCCACATCCGTCTGTGATAGACACACGGTCCACACCAGTGTTTCTAAAGGCACCCACAACGGCAACTGCGAGGCCCCTCGCCCCACATCCAAGGGACCCCCACCAGCGCATCTTAAGGGCCTACATCGGCGGCTCTGAGAGTCCCCCACCGACGCCTCTGCGGGCCACGTACACAGTGACTCTGAGGGCCTCTTACCAACCTCTGAGTGTCATTGCCAGCCTATGACGGGCCACTTTCCACTTGCAGGCCATTTTGCAGGGCCACACACATGCCAATGATGGCCCCACCACTCACCAGTGTCTCTAAGCCCTAAGACCCCGCAACGGTGCCTGTGAGGACCCAACACCAGCGCATCTGACGGCCTTTCACTGGCACCTCTGAGCGCGCCACACACCGGTGACTCTGAGGAGCTCGCTCGCTTCGCTCGCTCGTAAAATACCATGTAAATTAGGCATTAGTGTACATTAGGCACACTCCTCGGGCATAAATGATACTTTTGCTTGCCCATTTTCCACACTTTCTCATGCAAAGACCGTTTTAAAGAGACCCGTCTGCCAGTGAGACTGGGCCCACCGTGCCTCCCTCCTCCCATCGAAAGGTCCTGGATACATAATGCCTGAGCTGACCCCGGGCCCCCGGGTGACTCGCGGGCCCGGGGTAGCAGGTGACCCCCTCTTGGGCGAAATTCTGGGTACGTGTCCGACATGCATCGTACATAGTCCTGTTGATTTGATTCATTGGTTAAACATTAAATATAAGTTATAAGCTGGATCTCTATTCTCTAGTCTGTGATCCCGCATCGTATCAGATATAATGACATTTCATGTCGATGTGCCTAAAAAAATATGCGAATATACGTAAAAAAGGAGTGCTGCTCCCGCTCCTACACATCCGGGCCAAACAGTGACCGGCCCCTGCTTCTAGCCACCCGGGGCCGGTCGGCCGGCCGGCAGTCAGTCGCTGCCCGGGGCTGATTTCTGAGGGACTTGTAAAAATGTTTATTAATGAAATGTTTTACGTAATAAATTAGATTATTAGGTGTATGCACCGGCTCTGAGCCGCATTTGAGAAAAAAACATGCTAGCGTAAAAATATATATGTTTTGAAAATTAAGCTAGTACCGAAATAATTGTTTTACCATGCATTGACAAACCAATTGCTCAAGCTTCAAACCAACCTAAACATAGCCCCGTGAGCCGTATTTTTTTTTTTTGGGGGGGGGGGGGCCCTTCGGCATGGGGGGCCCAGTTCGAAGGTCGTGCCCCCCCCATTCAAAAATCCTGTGTGCGCGCCTGGCATTGCAGAGGATCCAGTGTCGGTCAAAACTATGACGTTTGAGTGTGGGTCAGGTGATGAAGCTTTTAACGTCGATTTTTTGTTCAAAATCGAACAAGTTGCGGACGCAAGTGACTATATCACTGAGTACTCGTTTCACCCAATCGTTTGTGACCTATCGCCTATCTTATAACTCCCATGACAAAGATGACGCACCCCAGCTCCCATCTATCGTTCGACAGTGAAAAACAGCAGTATTCTACGTCCTGCTATCCTTGCCAGACAATCCACCCTCCTCCCTCCCTTCGACTCAGACCCACCTGGCTTCTGGCCGGCGCCCGTCGGCTGCGACAGCGCCACCAGGTTGTGTGTGGAGGCGCGCACGGGCGACGGCCGCGGCGCGGCGGTGGTCAGAGACACACCGGCCCCGCCGCCGGCCGTGCTGCTGCTGCTGCTAGTGCCGCTGCTGCTGGCGGCTGACCAGCTGCTGGAGGTCAGCCACGCCTGCCGGGGAGAGAGGGCTAGTGTGATGGGAGTCTGGATCGTGTGGGTGAGGGATGTATGTAAATGAAGGGTGGTGAAGGCATGAGGGCTCACGAAAAGTGCTACATATATTGAGCTAAAGCCAGATGGATAAAACTATACTGAAATCTGAAGTGATTTCTTTTAGCTTCTTTTATACCTATGCCAAAACTTGTCCATACAACTAAGAAAAAAAAACTGTAAATACACCAACTGTTTGTCTCAGAGCCACAATACACACTCTGTACCCCATATTACAGAGCAGCCCCACACAACCTGACCGCTGTCATCAGCTACCCCTGGACGACACACTGACCGTGGTGGCCGGCGGGGCCGACTCCTCTGACTTGGTCAGGTTGATAGCTCCATGGTGGTGCTGCTGGGAAGGGCCAGAACCCTGTTTGCCGCCTCCTCCGCCCATCGGGGCGCCACCAGGCGGCTGCTGCGGGACAGAATGAGCATGAATGGGGGCCATGATTGTTGCAGGAAGTTTAGGGGTTTTACAACCCGTCCTACATTAAATTCATAATGCATGTGATGCTATATGATACAGATATACTAAGTACTGGAATACAATATATTTGAGGTATTTTGAGACATTTTGGGCTTTGGGAAGACGGTATCCTCCTAAATCCCAGGATTTAGGCAGACTGCATTGACAGCCTGGACAAATACTTAGGCAGACTGCATTGACAGACTGAACAAGAGAGGACTTCTTTCTGTTCAAGACATCTATCTATTTATGGAGTCAACTGTTTTTTCCCAGTCTGCAATAACTCTTGGTCAAAACATGGCAGGATGGTTGTAAGGCTTACAAAAATAATGACTCCTAAGAGATGACACATGCATATCAAGGTTAAGTGTGTCAAACAAGATCATCATCACAACTTTTAAAGTTCCTTCCCATACTTTTCTTAACCCGCGCCCCACTGGGGTCTGCGTATAACACGCCCTACTGGGGGGGGGGGGGCTCTCCATAGCCCCCCCCCCCCCTCCTAACTCCGAAACTACTGGGCCGATCGTCAAAATTCAAACGGCGTCCGATAGCCCCGGAAAAACTGTCGAGCGAAACCTAATTTCATTGACCTCGAGGTCACCGATGACGTCACAGGTCAGGTCAAAGTAAAAATTATTAGCATTTTGGCTTGTTCACATTTTGGGCTCTGGCCGCTGTCTTACAAGTCAGATCAGGCTCATTTTTGGTTTCCACACTCGTGAACAGATGCTCTAGATACCTTGAGGGTACCTCAAGGTACCCTCAAGGTACCTTGAGGGTACCTTGAGGGCACCAAACTTGTACTTTGATTTTCGGGTCAGGGTCATGTCATCACAGGTCACGGAAATATTATATCATGCGTCGGTCACGTGACACATGTTTTATGGTCCATTTAGGCCATAGATTTCGAAATTGATGTCGTCTGTGTCATTCGAGGTCATTTTGAGTCGAATTTAGCTTCGGTCAGGTCACTTTCAGGTCAAAAAAGTCAAATTTTGAAGTTAAAATTTTTCAACAAAAAAGGTGTCTATTGGATGCAGTTTGAGCTCAGGAATACGATGGTGCTATTTATATTGGTGTACGATGTCAAATACGTACTGAAAAATTGATTTGAAAAATTAATAATTGTGAATTTTTTTGCAATAATGCGTATCACTTGGCCATTTTTGAAGATATTTAGCTAGAACTTGCTAGAGTTAGTCATAAGCATGCGTTCTGTCACATATTCCGTTTTTTTTTTTCGAAAAGTTAAAGACTTTTTGAAAAAAATATAAAAATATAAATTTAGAATATTATTATATCAAATTTTCGAAATTTTCAAAATTTTGAAAATCCGAGATAGCAGTTTGATAGCGCAGTCAATTCTGAGTCCTTTCATGCAAAGAAATTGGATCTAGCTTAAAAACTGAGCTCTTGGGAGCGATTGCCGTGGTTCAATGTTTTGCGTCGAAATCGGCCGAACATGACGTCACTCTGACGTCATTTCCGGCCGACCTATGGTAGCTACGAAGTTCAAATTTCGACACACGGTGTCAAATTGATGCAGCCGAAGGTACTGAAAGTTTGGCGTCGATACGTCAAGTGGTTTGGAAGTTATTGCAGAAAAACGGGAGGGGGGCTATGAATAGCCCCCCCCCCCCAGTGGGGCGCGGGTTAAAATATGGATGGGCAAGCAATGATAACATCACAAATACTAGTGCTAATCTGGTGATATGAAGTGCTGCTAACTGGCTGTGTCTGAGATTATGCACTGTTTCACCAGGGAAGTAAATAATCATATACCTATATGAGGAGCCCCAAGACAAGGAGACTGTTCCTGCCCCACACCTAACTTCCTCTACACTTATCCATACCTACTCCTCCCATTTAAAAATGGCTTCCATTGCTCCTCCTAACTCCTCTCACCACACCACCACTATTCTCCTCTTTCCTCATCCCAAACAAAAGTTTCCTTCCTGGAGGAGGCTATTGTAGACAGATGGCTGAAAAATGACAATAATTTAGTGGCATGAAAGCATCAGTGGGGTTAGAGGAGGATAAGGCAAAGGTGTTTTCAAATAGCATTTCATTTTTTCCATAAGTTCTTATGTAAAAATGATGTCTATCTCAAAAACAATATTGGTGAGTCATAAATTGTCTACTGTACTGCCTGCACACAGCTAATATTAATAGGTATCCTCTTGCTCTTCTAAACCCCTCAAAACTTATCTTTTTTGGGAGGTACAATGGTCAATGGGAACCCAGACTGGAAAACATCCATACACTACACCAGGGCCCTGTTCATGAAGTCTGCGGTTGCTGCGGCCGGCCGCAGGTTGAGGTTCTAAGCCCCGCCCATTTTTGAAACGTCATCACTCACTCGGCCGCAGCAGCGTTCCATGAACAGCGTCTGCTGCCGAAATAGTTTCCGACAATTGTTTACAACTGACGCACACCGCTAGATAATTTGTTTACAAAACCGTCTCCATGACAACACGGCTTGCGCCAATTTGACTTCAGTGCAACCAGTTCAGTGCAATTAGTTTTCTTGCAGCTCGGCGGTCGCTGGATTGCGGCCGCAGCAAGGTGACGTCATACATTCGTCATACTACATCAGCTTTTTCGTGACATAACAACCCGGCTGACCGCAGCGACCGCAGCGGCCGCAGCGACCGCCGGGGTTCATGAACAGGGCCCAGATGCCTATGAGACACCTGCGTGCCAAAGTTTAGCACAAGTGATTTTGGGTAACGGTAGCGCAGGCGTCACCGATAGCTTCGGCGGCGTAAACCAGGGTGCGTAAACAGTCAAGGTGGGTGTATTGTAAGTATATTGACATAGATATGGTAGCACTGTTAAATTATATGACGTCATTGGAGTATGAAAAAGTCTCTAGAACGTGTCAGGGAGGACAAATAAGGGAGACCGGGATTCAGCCGGTCCCAGCGGGACACAATGGGACTCGGCCGGTACCAGCAGGACACAATGAGACTCGGCTTGTCACAGCGGGACACAATGGGACTCGGCCGGTCCCAGTGGGACATATTGGGACTCAGCCGACTAACGCGGGGCATAGTGGGACTCGGCCCACAATGGGACTCGACCGGTCCCAGCAGGACACAATGAGACTCGGCTTGTCACAGCGGGACACAATGGGACTCGACCGGTCCCAGCGGGACATATTGGGACTCAGCCGGCTACCGCGGGACATAGTGGGACTCGGCCGGTCCCAGCGGGACACAATGGGATTCGGCCGGTCCCAGCGGGACACAATGGGATTCGGCCGGTCCCAGCGGGACACAATGGGATTCGGCCGGCCCCAGCGGGACACAATGGGACTCGGCCGGTCCCAGCAGGACACAATGAGACTCGGCCGGTTGCAGCGGGACACAATGGGATTCGGACGGTCACAGCGGGACACAATGGGACTCGGCCGGTCCCAGCAGGACACAATGAGACACGGCTTGTCACAGCGGGACACAATGGGACTCGACCGGTCCCAGCGGGACATATTGGGACTCAGCCGACTACCGCGGGACATAGTGGGACTCGGCCGGTCCCAGCGGGACACAATGGGATCCGGCCGGTCACAGCGGGACACAATGGGATTCGGCCGGTCCCAGCAGGACACAATGGGACTCGACTTGTCTCAGCGGGACACAATGGGACTCGGCCGGTCCCAGCAGGACACAATGGGACTCGAATTGTCTCAGCGGGACACAATGGGACTCGGCCGGTCACAGCGGGACACAATGGGACTCGGCCGGTCCCAGCAGGACACAATGAGACTCGGCTTGTCACAGCGGGACACAATGGGACTCGGCCGGTCCCAGCAGGACACAATGGGATTCGGCCGGTCACAGCGGGACACAATGGGACTCGGCCGGTCCCAGCAGGACACAATGAGACTCGGCTTGTCACAGCGGGACACAATGGGACTCGGCCGGTCCCAGCGGGACACAATGGGATTCGGCCGGTCACAGCGGGACACAATGGGACTCGGCCGGTCCCAGCAGGACACAATGAGACTCGGCTTGTCACAGCGGGACACAATGGGACTCGGCCGGTCCCAGCGGGACACAATGGGATTCGGCCGGTCCCAGCGGGACACAATGGGACTCGGCCGGTCCCAGCGGGACACAATGGGATTCGGCCGGTCACAGCGGGACACAATGGGACTCGGCCGGTCCCAGCAGGACACAATGGGACTCGACTTGTCTCAGCGGGACACAATGGGACTCGGCCGGTCCCAGCAGGACACAATGGGACTCAAATTGTCTCAGCGGGACACAATGGGACTCGGCCGGTCCCAGCGGAACAAAGTGGGACTCAGCCGACTACCGCGGGACATGGTGGGACTCGGCCGGTCCCAGCGGGACACAATGGGATTCGGCCGGTCCCAGCGGGACACAATGGGACTCGGCCGGTCCCAGCAGGACACAATGAGACTCGGCTTGTCACAGCGGGACACAATGGACTCGGCCGGTCCCAGCGGGACACAATGGGATTCGGCCGGTCACAGCGGGACACAATGGGACTCGGCCGGTCCCAGCGGGACACAATGGGATTCGGTCGGTCACAGCGGGATGTATTGTACTAGAAAGAGATCGAATAAAAGTAAAGCGTTTATCGATTTCAACTCAATACGAAATTCGCCATGAACTCAACAATTACGCTTCTACAATTGCTTCACTCCACTCCATATCAATAAATCCACTTTCCTTCGTTCATCTGCCGCTCCCCCCTCGCCGCCGCGCTGCTCCTCCAAATTGCCGTTCTTACATTTTTGAATCACGCGGCATATGACATGTGCATATTCACTCCGGCACCTCATAATTAGTGAATGACCTAAATCATGTAGGCACTTCTAATTACTAACATAGTTTGATAATAGAAATAACTCCACATTCCCCCCTGATCTCCGATCATTAAATTGTATGTAGACAACGTTGGAGCAGCGCTAT